GACTCAGGTTTATCATCACTTGTATGGGGTGCAGGTGGCTTCGTTGTTGGTCTCCCACCTGCGTGCTTCGTCTCGGCGGCAGTATGAAGTTTCCTGGTGGTTCTTCTGGTTTTTCCTATCACTGCGTTGGTGTACTTTGGTCTCTGAATGGGTTGTTTTGTCCTTCCTTTCGTGGTTGTTTCAGGACTGTCATCTTATGCCGAATACTGTCGCCTTGTATCATGCGGCGCTGGCGGAGCTGCTCCAGCTTGCGTTCAGTAATGATGTTACGTCGGCTCTGTTCCGCAAGCTGTCTCATGCGTTGCTTCATCGCCGGCCTGCTCATGTGCCGCCTGTGCCATCCTGGTCTTTGGACCGTGTGCTCTCCTTTCTCTCTTGTCCTCGATTTGCTGTGGCCCCATCGGTTCAGGACTGTTTTTCTAAGGCTCTTTTCCTGTTGGCATTGGCCTCTGGGGTGGGGGGGTCGGAGAGCTTCATGCTCTCCTCCGACGCAGGGGTTTCTACTCTTTTGTTCGTGGTGGTAGGTTTGTTCGGTTGCAGCCGTCTCCTTCTTTTCTGGCGAAGAATGAGACTGCTGCTTTCCGAAGGGGTCCTTGGGTTCTTGATGCTTGGTTGGTCAGGCCCACCAAGTGGATGCGCTTTGGGTTTGCCCAGTTTCCCTCCTTCCCTGTTCTCTGGCTAGACCTCCCAGGTCTAGCCAGCCTGCGGTCTATCCTCGTGTCCATGACGTTCGTAAGTTTGCTGCTTTTGCTGCCGTTTTTGGCAACGTCTTGAGTTGAGATTCGGGCACTGGGTTTTTGGAGGTCAAACAGAGGCCTGGCCGCACTCTACCTTGTCAGTGTCCCTTGACTAGTAGGGCCTGTGATGCATTGGGTTGCAGCCAGTTGTATCAACTTCGCGTTGAGGAGCGAGGACTGACCGCCACCCGGATAAGTCCCAGTTTTTCCTTGTCCTTGGGTAGTTAGCTCTGGGAAGCCGATGGGACTCCTCCCAGAAAACCAGCGTTGAATTTAATGAAACGCCATTTTCTGAATGAATCCCGGAGGCTCCCCATTATCCCTCCCTCCCTACGGTCAGCGGTGTTTTTCATGTGTTTGACATCCAGCCTAAGAACTGCCGGTTGGGTCTGGGGTCCCCCTTCCCCCTCTCGGGAAGGGAGGGGGTTTGCACAGACAGCCGTATTCAACGTAATGACGTTATGCTCATTTGCTACTTTTCATTTGGGGTGTTCTGTCCACTTGTTCGGCTTTCGGTAGCAATATTTTCACTAGAATAGGGGTTTGTTTTGGGGAGCACCTTTCTGGGTGCCAGACCCGATCAATGGCAGACATAGAATGCTCCCAACCACACGGTAGAGGGGGAGGGGGGGTTCTATAGGCTATTGCTCCTCTTGCTTCATCTGAGGGAGCCAGGTTCTGGCTCGTGGTCCCCGGTAGGCCGAACTCCATGCACTTTGACCGATGCCAGAAAGCTAATAATATCCATGTCAGCCTGGATAGCTCCAGGAAGCCTCTGGGACTCGCTCAGAAATTGGCGTTTCATTACATTCAACGCTGGGTTTTTGGCTGTGCCCTGAAGGTCCCTTACACTCTCCCATCCCTCCGATCGGCGGTTTTTCATCATTCAAGAACTGGAGTGGTGGGCTTATAGCCCTCCCTCCCCCTCCCCCCTGCGAGGTAACGCTGACAAGCGGAAATGCATGTCACACAAAGGGTTGCTTGTTAGGGTATCTTTCTAGGGAAGTTACTTTGACCATTTTGGATGTAGATTGCAAAGGTTAACTAAACAGTGGTATGCCTGGTTGATTTGCCTACCTTTCGGGGTCCTTCCCTGGTTGATGGCAATAATGACATACTTTAAATGTAAAGTACTCCTAGGCCATTGCTTTTTGCACCTCTCTGAGGATACCAGGTTCTGGCTCGTGGTTCCTGGTAGGCATTAAAACTCCGGTGACTGATGACCTCAACATAATATAGCACATGTCGGTTTGATAGCTTTAGGGAATCTCCGGTACTCACCCAGAAATGGCTTTTCATTACATTCAACGCTGTTTTTTTTTATGTACTATAACGAACTAATATGCAGTGCTGGTGGGTGTGATGATGAACTCAATACATAGCAGGGAGCACAGGATACAAGCAGACAACACTTGATTCAACAAAATGCCTTGAAATATACTATGCACATTACTAATATTATCCACAGAACTTCTATTAGTATTATTAGTATTATTATTGCATTCATGTCATTGAATCGTGAATATGAATACATTTCCGCAAGGTTATGTTGTAAGGAAGCATGAAGTCTTTTTTATGATGTTTATATGCAATTAATACTGGCTGTTGCTGTCTGCCTCACACTGTAAACATCATAATTAGCATTGTATCCACTGATATCTGAAAATTGTATATAGTTTTCATCACAGGATCATCTATGACACTATCAAAGCAAAATAATAACTTACTTATTTTGCTCATCATTATTATGTGGTGCTGTGGCCCCTAGTGACACAGCGTTGCTGTGAGCTCCTGCTGCACACAGAAAGCTTTGGTCGCTTTCTCAGTACTTAGGCTCTCGCAGCCAGGAGATATACAGACGATTTTTTTCAAAATGGCATCTGTTTACAGGAGCCCAGAAGAACACGATGTGATTCCGCACACCTGCAGGCATTTTAAATTTTACGCTAAACCTAGTAACAACCCTGGTTGCAATGTGCACCATCGATTAAACAACCCTGGTTGCAGTGTGCACCATCGATGAAACAACCCAGGTTGCAGTGTGCACCATTGATGAAACAACACTGGTTGCAATGTGTACCATTGATGAAACAACCCAGGTTGCAATGTGTACCATCGATGAAACAACCCAGGTTGCAGTGTACCATCGATGAAACAACCCAGGTTGCAGTGTGTACCATCGATGAAACAACCCTGGTTGCAGTGTACCATCGATGAAACAACCCTGGTTGCAGTGTGTACCATCGATGAAACAACCCTGGTTGCAGTGTGCACCATCGATGAAACAACCCTGGTTGCAGTGTACCATCGATGAAACAACCCAGGTTGCAGTGTGCACCATTGATGAAACAACACTGGTTGCAATGTGTACCATTGATGAAACAACCCTGGTTGCAGTGTGTACCATTGATGAAACAACCCAGGTTGCAGTGTACCATCGATGAAACAACCCAGGTTGCAGTGTACCATCGATGAAACAACCCTGGTTGCAGTGTGTACCATCGATGAAACAACCCAGGTTGCAATGTGTACCATCGATGAAACAACCCAGGTTGCAGTGTGTACCATCGATGAAACAACCCAGGTTGCAGTGTACCATCGATGAAACAACCCAGGTTGCAGTGTACCATCGATGAAACAACCCTGGTTACGATGCGCAGGTCATGGGTTAACTTCTTTAAAAGCTATTTTCCATTCTTTATTTTCCTCCTTCATGGGCTTAACTTTTAGCATTCCCAGTGATTTTTATCCTTGCATAATTCTCTTATTTTCCCTCAAGAGCTAATACTTTGTTGCTCAAGTTTTCATTACTGTCCCTCAATTACCTGATTTTTCCACATGATAATTTACAATAATCTAATTTTGAGAACTACTGACGGTTTTGGTCTCCTCTACTTTCTCGCTTAATTTGTTGCAACCATCTATCACTCTGCAAAAGAAATCTTTCTAATATTTTTTGCCACCTTTGTATCCTTAGCATGTACAGAGGAACCTCGGGTGACGAGTAGCCTCATCTACGAGTATTTCAGGTAATGAGTGAGCCACTCGCAGAAAATTTCTCGATTGACAAGCTTCCTCTCAGTTAATGAGAGAACCACGTGGTGCTTCCTAGCATTCCCGCTGGTTCTCGGATGCCTCCGACAACAGTGTTGTTGTTGTTTTGCAAGACGAGTGTTTCACATGACGAGCACGGTACCGGAACGGATTAAATTTGTTAACTGAGGCACCACTGTATCTATGACATCTTGTTCTTGAGGTTGATTTTTTTCAAGAATTCCTCTCGGTCAATTTGGTCGATTACTGGTACTGTATTACAGTATTTTGTAAGTGGTGATCACATCACTTCTTTTTCTTCTATCTTCTACTTTTGGCATATTTAACACATCAAGCCAATATTACTCTTGCTTTTCAGTTCTGGAAGTCATTTTGTAGCATGCCTTTCCACCTTTACCAATTTACTGATGTGCTTCTTGAGATATGGGCACCATAAATGGAACATGCTGCATATTCCAATTGGAATATGCAGCATGCTCCATATAAATTCTCTATATTCCATATTCAACTGCTGCATATTCCAAATTTGACCTCATAAAAATGATAAGCAGTTCATTTAGTATGTCACCATGTGTGTGCGTGTGTGCATGTGTATGTCACCATGTGTGTGCATGTGTATGTCACCATGTGTGTGTGTGTGTGTACATGTGTATGTCACCATGTGTGTGCGTGTGTGTCACCATATGTGTGTTTTGAAATTTTCCTCAATGCAGGATACTGCGTGAAGGATCTAATACAGATATTTTGGCTACCGACTTTGTCTTAATGTTAAATTCCATGTGATCCCCCAACAATGGCTGGAATATTTGCTGTAGAGTTTTGCATATTTTGTTTAAACTGTAGTTAATTCAGGTTCATTTTATTAGATAATCTGATTAATGGGAGGGATATTCTGGTTATTCCTTCTACCTTCCTGTGACTTTATTTTCATAGCTATATTTATTGTATTAAAAGCATACTCCTTAAATTTAAGATATGTATATTTTTAGAGCTAAACAATGTGTATGCTGGTTTATTTATGTTGTACTCTAGGCTTCCAGTAAACTATAGTTGCCGATTGCTTAGCTTTAAGGGAAGGTAAAACAAACTTATATATATGGCTGGTTTAATAGAAACTGTTAAAAGAGCTTGCTCCAGTGGAAGCAGACTTTACTAACCTAATTTTCTCTCTCTTCTCTTTCACGTCTGGCTTGTGTTAACCCACTGCAGTAACAGTCAGTGAGTATGCCTCTACAGCTTTCCATTTTTCACCAGCTCATGAAGTAGTTAAGCAAGTTATATAATTAGGCATATATTGTTTTCTTATTGAGTTTTCCAGTCTTTCAAGTGTTGTTTATACATGGAGATTATTGTATTAATAGTTATTTTAAGAGCTGATAAACTTAGCATGTAAAAGTAAGTATTGATTAAGCAGGCTTTCACTTTCATGTGTTGTTAGTTCGTTATACAAATACAGTACCATTTTCCAGAATAATTTGTAATTGCTACAGTATTAGAATATATTGACATTATTTATATTTACTAAATAATTTTCCAGATTAAAATACGAGCACCATTAGCAAAGGCGGAATCCTTCTTCAGCAAAGAACCCCGAGTCAGGAGCAATGAATAAACTATCATTATGAGGGTGGTTTTGTAGACGCGCCATCCTTAGGTTGATGGCAGATGGAATATTGTATTATCATGCATTTCAGGCTTACTTTTAATCTTTTTATTATGTTGGTAAAAGAATCTCTCTCTCTCTCTCTCTCCCCTAATTGCTAGTGCTGGAATGTATATTATGCTCATTGTTTTAGGTCAGCACTATTTATTAACTAATGTTTGGTTTTGATACAGTGTGTAAGTGCTTTAGAATAATTCACTATTAATATATGGTACTGTACTGTATATTAATAAAATGCATAATTTATTTTCTTTATTGACTTTAGCTTGTATATTTGTTATACCGAATTTGACTGGGCATTGTAAGTCCCTAGCTGACCATTTAACTGTTTAGTTTTATATGATCTTCAGTACACACTGCCTAGCTGATTTATTTGGGATGGCACTTGGGTCCTGAGATGAGATAAATGTAGTAACAGCAGCATCGTACCTTGTATATTCCTGTACCCATGTATATATGTGTGTTCCTGTATACAGGCACATACATGTGTGTTCCTGTATACAGGAACACATACATGTGTTCCTGTATACAGGCACATATGTATGTGTTCATACAGGCACATATGTATGTGTTCCTGTATACAGGCACATATGTATGTGTTCCTGTATACAGGCACATATGTACGTGTTCCTGTATACAGGCACATATGTATGTGTTCCTGTATACAGGCACATATGTATGTGTTCCTGTATACAGGCACATATGTATGTGTTCCTGTATACAGGCACATATGTATGTGTTCCTGTATACAGGCACATATGTATGTGTTCCTGTATACAGGCACATATGTATGTGTTCCTGTATACAGGCACATATGTATGTGTTCCTGTATACAGGCACATATGTATGTGTTCCTGTATACAGGCACATATGTATGTGTTCCTGTATACAGGCACATATGTACGTGTTCCTGTATACAGGCACATATGTACGTGTTCCTGTATACAGGCACATGTATACAGGCACATATGTACGTGTTCCTGTATACAGGCACATATGTATGTGTTCCTGTATACAGGCACATATGTACGTGTTCCTGTATACAGGCACATATGTACGTGTTCCTGTATACAGGCACATATGTACGTGTTCCTGTATACAGGCACATATGTACGTGTTCCTGTATACAGGCACATATGTACGTGTTCCTGTATACAGGCACATATGTACGTGTTCCTGTATACAGGCACATATGTACGTGTTCCTGTATACAGGCACATATGTACGTGTTCCTGTATACAGGCACATATGTACGTGTTCCTGTATACAGGCACATATGTACGTGTTCCTGTATACAGGCACATATGTACGTGTTCCTGTATACAGGCACATATGTACGTGTTCCTGTATACAGGCACATATGTACGTGTTCCTGTATACAGGCACATATGTACGTGTTCCTGTATACAGGCACATATGTACGTGTTCCTGTATACAGGCACATATGTACGTGTTCCTGTATACAGGCACATATGTACGTGTTCCTGTATACAGGCACATATGTACGTGTTCCTGTATACAGGCACATATGTACGTGTTCCTGTATACAGGCACATATGTATGTGTTCCTGTATACAGGCACATATGCATGTTACAAACATTGGCCATTTGTGCAAATCCAAGTGAAAAAATTTCATTGATTTTTTTGCAAAGGTACTAAAGTAATAATGTAATCACCAATCCTTTTTCCTAATACCTGACAAGGCCATCATATATTAAAAACTTTGGATTATACAGTATTGTTGAAATAAATTAGCAATTGTATATTGTATATACAGTATAGCAATTGTTAAGAAATATTGCTGGAACAACCGTGGACATCAAGAGAAAACTAGATAGTTTTCTTCAAGAAGTGCCATACCAACCGGGCTGTGGTGGGTATGTGGGCCTGCGGGTCGCTCCAAGCAACAACCTGTTGGATCAAACTCTCACAAGTCAAGCCTGGCCTCAGGCTGAGCTTGGGGAGTAGAAGAACTTCCAGAACTCCATTAATCTGGTGTATCAACCAAAAAAAGAATTACCTGGAGAGGATTTATAATCTATTGCTTAGGTTAATGTTTTTCCGTGACACGTGTGTGATTATACACCACACTTGCACAAGTGCTTAGAAAAAATTTTGAGGGGAGGGGGGGGGGCCTCCTTTGCTTTGGGTGGGTTAAAAAATTAAATATATACAGTACATATATTTGAAATGTGTTTGCGATTTACAAGTGTGAAGGAAAATTGAGTAATGAAACAAATTTTCTCTTAATGGACTAGAAATTTATGTAGTAGTACCTTCAGGTCATGTACTTATCCATAAGCATTAGTTTATATTTTTCTATATTAAGAGAAATATTAAAATATAAAGAAAACAATATTTGTACTTTTTATAAAGATTATAAGTAAAAGTAGAGTTCACATGAATTAGTTAGACAGGCAGCTCATTATTTCCAGTCTTACTTTATGAATTGTTATTGGATGCAGAAGTGTGGGTGTTGCTGCATTTGTGTTACTGTGACAACACCAACCTGTCCTTTAACTTGGCATATGAACTGCAAAATAATTAGCATGGTTAATATGGTATATAACCAATGGACTGAATTTATATTTGATGTAAAAATATATTTCAAGCCATGTAACATAGCAAACTATTTACATTTGAATTACTTTACCTTCTCCTACACCTATTTTTTCTTGTTAAATTCCCTTTGCAACCAGTAGCTGGTACATCCTTACAGAGAGCAGAGGTAAAATATGCTTACCTCTTTCTTCAGTAGTAAAAACAGTTGATGATTTGGGACATATTCTTCACCCATTCATTTGGTCAATTTACAGAATAATCCTAGTTTTTGTATGTGAACATGTCTTGAGCAACATCACATTAATTCTTACACTCCAGTACACTTGAGAATAGTTGACCTACTGTCTGCTGTATCACATTAGTGAGAACATCACCAGCTGGCAGCTGTGGAGAGCCTGTACAACTGTAATGAACAGTAGTCTTGTTATCCCCTTCATTATA